CCGATCCAGTCGAGTGGCGGTCTCCCCGTCAATGGGAACGAGGAAATAGTTCCTCCCCCGATCCCAGTTTCAAACAGATGTTGCTCTTGTGGGAGCAGTCTTCCCCCGCCTCCAAGCACTGCACGTCCCACGTCCCCTCCGCCTTCGTTCCCACATACTGCTACGCCCCGTTCATCATCCCCCCACAGGAGCACGATCACCGTTTCCAAGGCCATGCTGGGACGCTTCCAAAACGTAGCGAGGGGACTAGCAATGGAAAGGGGAGCGAATGTCACGTCGACCGATGTCCTCGGGACTTTGCTCGACTGGTGCAGAACTAAGATTGAGAAACTGCCGCAGGGCACCCCTGCCACAGAATGTGTGCGAAACACGTCCCTCGGCAGCTCAGCTGCCTCATGTCCTCGTCCATGCATCAAACAGGGTACAAGTACCCTGCCTGGCAACGATCCATCTGCCCCCAATGGTAGAATGTTTGATGAAACGGTGAAATGGACTGATGGGAGTCCGTACTGCCCGGAGTTTGGCCCACTGGTAGCTCATGACGCAGTCATGACCGACCTTCAGAAATGGAAAGGAGATAATCGGCCCGACGTCGTTCTTAGCGAGCCACCAAAAATTCTCCAGCTGCTTTCTTTTTTTACCCTTTACTGCCCTGTGCACGGTCATAATGGTGTTGTTCGGGTGTCCGGAATTCGATACTCTAGGCAGATTGTCATTCTAACATTGCATTGTCGTCGAGGTTGTCAGTGGGTATGGCATTCATCAAAGCCGGAGAACACGAAGTTGAGTAGCCGAGTGACGGGCCAAATGTATCATGCGGCCCTCAGCTGCGGAATGGGATACACCACGTTGAACGACTTTTGCCTTACGTTGGGCATGCGCGGCGTCCACAAGACGTCCTTTTACATGTTCAGTCGTGGCATGTATGGCTTCAATGGTGGGTGGTGTGACGTCGCCCAGCGGACTACTGAGAAAGATATGACGGAGGCCGTTGAGCGCGTGCGAAAAGAATACTCCAACATAACCGTTCTTCTTGACGGCCGGTATGACTCGTCTTGTGATGCGACGCAGTGTACAGTGACAGTTATGCATTACGAAACCAGACTAATACTCGGTGTTGAGACGATCCGAAAACGGCCAGGGGAATCGTCGTGAACATTGGAAACCACTGCAACCCGGAATGTCTTGATACGTTTGCTTCGAGTGCACAACTTGCCGATACAGAAAGTGGTCCATGACGACAAGGCTTCAGTTTGTGCCGTTTTGAAGGAACTCGGGTTGCAGGACCAAAAGGATATGTGGCACAAAGCGAAAAACTTGGCGGCTCGATTTGAGGAACAGTTGTGTATGGCGAGGAGGGAGCTGCCCAAAGAGGTCAATGATTGCGACACGTACGAAGAGCTGAAGAAAATCCGTAAGGAAAAACTTCGCACGTGGTTGAGGGAACGAGGTGAGGCTGTGCTGTCCACAGCCAAGGTGGCGGATTTGGCACGGAAAATATGGTTTGCTCGACATGGGAGCGAAGTCGAGGAGGATGTTGATGCAAAGGCAGGGTTGAGGAAGGCACACCCTGGGCTCGCAAGGTCGGGA